TTGCTCTGTGACATCACCAAGTTGATCAGTGACATTACCAAGTTGCTCAGTGACATTACCAAGTTGCTCAGTGACATTACCAAGTTGCTCAGTGACATCACCAAGTTGCTCAGTGACATCACCAAGTTGCTCAGTGACATTACCAAGTTGCTCAGTGACATTACCAAGTTGCTCAGTGACATTACCAAGTTGCTCAGTGACATTACCAAGTTGCTCAGTGACATTACCAAGTTGCTCAGTGACATCACCAAGTTGCTCAAGTGACATCACCAAGTTGCTCAGTGACATTACCAAGTTGCTCAGTGACATTACCAAGTTGCTCAGTGACATTACCAAGTTGCTCAGTGACATCACCAAGTTGCTCAGTGACATCACCAAGTTGCTCAGTGACATCACCAAGTTGCTCAGTGACATCACCAAGTTGCTCTGTGACAACACCAAGTTGCTCAGTGACATTACCAAGTTGCTCAGTGACATTACCAAGTTGCTCAGTGACATTACCAAGTTGCTCAGTGACATTACCAAGTTGCTCAGTGAAATTACCAAGTTGCTCAGTGACATCACCAAGTTGCTCAGTGACATTACCAAGTTGCTCAGTGACATTACCAAGTTGCTCAGTGACATCACCAAGTCACATTTGGGGATGGCATAGATCATGGAAACCACCAAAATAACAACAAGAATGATTAGTGTATTTTACCAATCAATTGTGGTACAGCATGTGGTATATCTTGGTCAAAGATTGGATACCTTACCTTTCTGTTGATAGAGAATACAGCACTGTAGTACCCTATCATCATTTGATTCAATATTGACTGTTGGTAGCTTAGTGGATCCCTGAAATACAATATGCTGTAAATATTTATATGATGATATATTACTTAGAAAGGAGCAAATAATGAAAATAAACATAACCATGAAAAGATTGAATGGTTCTTCCAGAATTTCTGTTCTCAGAGCATGTACATGTACTAATGTAGGAATCAATGTACATGTACTAATGTAGGAATCAATGTACATGTACTAATGTAGGAATCAATGTACATGTACTAATGTAGGAATCAATGTACATGTACTAATGTAGGAATCAATGTACATGTACTAATGTAGGAATCAATGTACATGTACTAATGTAGGAATCAATGTACATGTACTAATGTAGGAATCAATGTACATGTACTAATGTAGGAATCAGAAGTGAAGGCTGCAAATCTAAATCACTTTCTACTCAAAAACAATCTTACCTCAGATTTAGGTTGTCTCTTTAACAACACAGAATTGGACTTTTACTGGTACTTACATACAATCTTACCTTACTCATACACTTTCCCATTCCTCACATACAACCTTACTTTAAGTAATTGTCTATTTTAATCTCTAGAACATTTAACTTCAGTAACAAACTGTCCCTTTAACCACAAGAAAATGTATCACAGTTATAGACTGTCCTGTTACCTTTTTACAAACTTACCTTATTCACAGGCTGTTCTTTCACTTACACAAAATCTTACCACTGTCGTCATCATCCTTCTAATATCTAGAACATTTCATTCCTTTAACCACAAGAAAAGGTACAGCAGCTCTTTCATAAGGCCAAAAAAACAACAACTTATGTTGCCCTCAAGTCGAAAAATTAAAAAATTGAGTTGGTTGGTCCGATTTTTTTTTTTTTTTTAAACTCGTGAAAACTAAGGGAACCGTAAATAGCCGAGGTATATGGGAAAAAAAAACGCGACCCGATATTTCATATTTTTCGGTCGATATTTCATTTTTTTTTTTGGCCTAATATGTCACAAGCTATCTTTCCTCAGTCAGACTAGCATACAATCCCACCTTAATCACAGACTTCCCTTCTACTCACAATCATACCTTAGTCATAAAGACTGTTTTACTCATAACAAATCTTACCTCAGTCATGGACTGTTCTATTTACTCACAATCTTACCTCAGTCATGGATTGTCCCTTTACTCTTGGATGTCGGCTTTCAAAACACAAATGAAGAAATTTCACAGCTGCCCTTGCTTTGCGGTTTATATTATAATCCTGCCAATAGATGAAAATTATGCTCCATGTAGTTTTTAGAAAAATAAAATGATATTTATTTTTTTAAATTTGGCCCAAAGTGAGGAAAGTCTTGAATATCAAGTACTGACAGTCACAGAGCCTGTAGTGTTTCATATATTTTGCAACATAATATTACTTACCGTGTCATGCCTTATATTTTTGCTGTCCTGTAATATCAACAAATTATAATGTGAACATAGAAGTTAATAAGAGACGCTTCCACAACATATATGTTAGGTAGCTACACATCAATACTAGTATTAGGTAGTCCACCATATTGATTCACCAGCAAAGAATTATGGGTAAAGCATAACATCATAGCCACTGAATCACTATGTTGTTTACCCTTTCGAATTTTAAGTAGGATGCACAGGAAATGCAAGTTGTTCAATTTGTGAGAAGCGATAAAAGTTAATTTTGTATTATATGCACCAAAATCGCATTAGAAAACTATGCAAAATATGGGATACAAAAAACTGACAGTATACAGAGCCTGGAAATTTACACAAAGGTACATGTATGTATGGGGTTTGTACTATACAAAATTTGGCATTAAGAAACTTTCATTTGTTCAACTTTGAGGGTGGCATCAGAACCAATAGTAAATGATTTACATTTCCCATGTGTCAGTTATATTGATTGATGTCCCCGTAAAAGTTTCAATTTATTAACTTCCATCCCTCAAGCTGGTTCCATTTTGCTTGACAAAGAATATTTCATGATTATCCTTAATAACGTAATTTAAATAGTGGATTATGAAGTTATGATTATAACTAGTGATGCTCAACAAGATGTGTGCCTTAACAAAATTTCCATTTTAATAATAATTAAATAAAACCAAACAAAAAAACACAATATTTTCAAAATGATATTTTATAAAGAGTGAGTTATTGCAAACAGTCATATTTGATGACCAGGGAAACATTTTCAATACTCTCTTGAGACGTTTAATTTCAATGGCGACCATTGCAGTCATTATGTAAAAAGTTGCAATAAAGACTCTCCATGGTATATGCAGGTATTGTATTTACGCTATTACAAGCATATCTCCAATACAAGTGTATGTAAACCATCAATTGCAGCAATTATGTACTAGATCTTTCAAATATTACTTATTTTGGCCATAGACACACTGTTTTATTTACACAAGTATGTTTGTGATGTACATAAATACAATTATATTACCTTTAAAGAGTCCAGTTCCTGCATAACAACCCAAGGTATGACAAGCACTGGTCGACCACATCCTATGAAGAATACAATAAAGATAAAAAGACATGTAATTTGTAATATTTTTCTTTAAGTTAAAGAGAGACATGTAATTTGTAATATTTTTCTTTAAGTTAAAGAGAGAGGGTCGTCACCTGCGCATGTGCGGGAATTGAGTCCCAAGCGATGATAACACACGCTAAAAACGCAAAAGCTCAAGGCTAGATGCTTGTTTGTAAACAATGACATGCTATGGCCATCTGACGCATACGCAGATGATGACTCCCTCGCTTTAATGCTGCATGTTAATACCGCATGTTAATACCACATGTTAATACCGCATGTTATATACCGTAATACCGCATGTTAATACCACATGTTAATACCGCATGTTAATACCGCATGTTAATACCACATGTTAATACCGCATGTTATATACCGTAATACCGCATGTTAATACCACATGTTAATACCGCATGTTAATACCGCATGTTAATACCGCATGTTAATAACCACATGTTAATACCACATGTTAATTAATACTGCACATTGGATCATTAATTATCATTGATTGAAACATTGTTTGTGTAGCATACAAATGGATATTTGTTTAATTTAACAATGACATTCTCATGTGCATGGATGTCACTTATTAGCAAAAATTTGAGAAGTTAAAACCCAGTGATTAAGTGATGGCAGTATCATATGTTTAAAAGTATTATTTAAAGTCAGTGAATATTTTTTTCCACAGTATCTGGAGATAAATTTTCTCTTAGATTGAATAGTTCACTATAATCAGTATTTGAAATTTCTCAAAATTGTGTATGAGACACCAGAGCAGGTAACATTCAAATTCTACCAGCCCTGCCAGAAAGTTACCGGCCTGGCTTAAAAAATATTTTTTCCATTCCAAGTGAGCACTGCAAACCTTCAACATTCTCTAGACTGACAAAGCAAATAATTTAAATTTATTATAATTTTAAACTGCCAGCAGAGAAAAATCGCATTCTACATTTTCAATAATATAATTTCAACCTTGCATTTTCAAAATTGTCATTGAAGCAGACCATAAAAAAAATGTTACCAGACCAACAGGTACAGGTATGCAAGTTTTAATTTTTACCAGGCCAACCGGAAGTTGCCTGTATTCGGTGCACATACAGGTGAAGAAATAATTTCAAACACAGCTATTATATGAAATTTTACCTTTGATGTCTTGGTCCTTGAATTCTTCCAAGAATTTTAAATGATTGATCAAGACGTTTGTATCAAGCACCACATACAACATATTCTGTAATATGAAAAGACAAAGAAATAATTCTGATGGTAAGGACAGCAATAATTTAAACTTATGTGATTATTCATAAATCAAAGCTTTTAATTTAAGAAAAAAAAATCAACATAGTACTGAACCAAAAGTAAAAACAATTGATCAATTTCACATCTTAAAGAAATAGTCAAAGATCAACATGGCTGCCAGTCAACAAATGCAAAATATGGGTCAGGTTATGAAATAACTGAAATTAATAAATAACAAAAGTGTTCAGTGAATGGTGGCTTAAGTAGGATATATACTACATAATTAAAGTCGTAATACCTGTTCTATGGAAGAGCTACATGTAGTTGTACTGTCAATCATATTCAAGGCTGTGAGTTTGCCATATTTCTGTGAAATAGAACAAGGCACCACATGTCAAAAAAATGGGCATTTAATAAAAAAAGCTAAAACTCAAAACTAAAATTAGAATGACAAATAA